GTAGGGAAACATCTGTTATCTGGACTCATTGAGAAATAAAATACTGGGATAATTTCGAAGTTAACAATGTTTAACCAGTTATAATCCAATTTTAATTGAACTGTTTTATGTACAATGTTTCTTTAAAAAGATACCAGTAACCTGTCCCAGACTTGCAGTTATAAACATCAATCAATATGTATAGGAGTCTCAGTGTAGCTGGTGTTGGGCCTGGGGGTGGGGAGCAAGGCTGTGAAAGTCCCACAAGCTGCTGCAGTTTCGCTGGTGTGGCCTCAGCAGAATATTGCCATCTAAAGACACCATCCTTGGACCATTTTTTTCCCTTAGGCCATTTCCTTACTGACTGTTTTTTCTCTGCAGCTTGCTGATCCCTCATTCTGGCTACAAGCCTCCCTCACCACTTCCTTTCACAGCTCTTATTCCTCCCTTCATTCAGTAACTATTTTTTAAACATTTACTGTATGGCAGGAAGTAATCATATTTCCCTCCTGCCCTATAAAAGATGCATTAAATTTTTCTGAGTTTCAAGATATTCTGTCACTTAATAACACAGATTGTACTACATCTTGAGCAAGGTGACCGATTAAGGGAATTCACTTTTGAGGATGTTGTGACTGAGCATTTAGTCAGGGGATTCAATGGAGAGACTGATGCTGAAGTAGTAAAAGGCAATGCCCCTGAGGACCAATGCAGCTTGATTTTTTAGTCCTGATTTGGGAAGGCCTATGCTTATTGAAAAATAACCAAAGCAGCAGTCATTACACAGGATGAGAGATTTTGAATTCATTCTGCATTACCTTTCTCCTGATATTATCTTGAAAATTAGCTTTAATAAAAGTAGTGATAACACCAGGATGCTACTCTTTGCAAGTTATTCCATTTCTTTACAAGTTTGTCCTTTGGTATTTTTGTGGTGTCAGAATATTTATTGTAGATTTAACTTTATGTTCAGGCCTTGAGATAAGGAGAAGCTGTCCATTTGGGGAATGACTAAGGGCTGCTCAAAATCAAATTTCAATGGCTCAAGAGCCAAACCACATGAGAAGAACTTGGGCATGTTACATTCTGGTTTTAATTCATTTGGGAATGTTCTAATCAAAGTTATGAAACATACTGATTCAATCCAACATCTGATTAAAAGTGAATCTAACATCCTACTTGCGAAAGTCCCCATATTTCTGGTAAGCTGGGGGAGGAATCAGATATACACCTTCGGTGATATCATTGGCCTAAATATAAATTTTTCAAGTTTTTGCTTAGGATAATGAATGCTAAGAATGTAAGGACACCTGATGTATTCATTATACACAACTCAGTGTGTGGGTGGGGGCCATATGGTATTTCTCGTCCCTATTTACTTCACTTGTCTGATAACTGTTACACTTTAAAAATTGGTACCATGCCTCATTTCGTCAGTAATAGACATGGCTTTTTAAAAAGATGGGTGGATCTCTGATGGGGGAAAAAAAAAAAAGAAGGATGAAAATAGATGTAATATTTTAGGGGAACACTGATCCTAAGGAGATCTTGATTAATTAAATTTATATTTTAAAATCTGTTAATAAATGCTTTATACTTCAAAAATTGTTTAGTGAACAAGTTAGATAAGTTTTTTTTTTTTTTTTAACATAGGGACAATATACTAAAATTAGGTCTTTTAGCCATCTTTAAAAATTTTTTCTTTAATAAAACCTAACAGTAAGCATTAGTTTTCACCTTTATAAAAAGAGTGTTCTAGATTCTCAACATGGAAAAAATAGCACAATTATAAAAATGTGCTTTTTCTTCCTCAATTACATGAATTTCAAGTGACATATACAGAAAGAATCATGCTTTTGTTTATGCATGTACCTTTTCTTTGACTTTTCTAGAGGTATAAACAGGAATGATATTGAAAGTATTTAACAATTAGTAGAGCAAAGTCACTAACGAAACAAAAGAGACCCCTGCTACATGTCCCCGGCACAAGCGTGCTGGGAGTTGCCAGCAGAACACGTGCTTAGAGACATGAATTACGATACACGATGTAACCATATGCTTAAGATGGGGGGTGTAGTCAACATTTACTTTTTTGTACTTAACTTTTACTGTAAGTGATTAAAATTGCATTATATCATTTCCTCAAGCCATACACATTAATACCAGGATCATTTGCTACTTTGGAGAAGCAATAAAACACTGTAATTAAAGTGTATGCTTTGAAGCTGAAAAAAATCAACATTAAATTCTTTGACGTAAATATTATTTATCTTTTAAAAACGGATAAAATTCAAACTGTTCCTCCCATTTCAAATATTTTGAGAAGGTGTTAAGGAGTCTTTTGAGAAGGTGTTAAGGAGTTTTTCCTGCATATAAGTTTTAGGTATACTTATGCATATCTGAATAAAAACACTTTTCAGTGTGCCTTTTCCTTACAATTCTGAAAGCAAAACATCTGGAATTAATTTAATATCTTTTGAAATACTGCCTTCTAAGATCAGTTTCAGAGAAGAGATGGGTGAATATTTGGATTGATACTGACTTTATTTGGATTAAAATATACCTCTAAATTATCGAAACAATTTTTAGAATCAATTCTGTGGCCACATAAGAGGGCCAAGGTGTCCCAAGTGGTTCCTTTTAAACTTTCCTATATTCCAGAGCCACCCAAGAGCACAGATGACAGTTTAAGAAACACTTTTTTTATGCTAGCCTGAAGGTGACAACAGAGAAAGCCTCACAATGAAGCCTTAAAATATCTTTTCAGTTAATTTGGGTTTTCCTTTGGAAATAACCAAGACTTTCAAACCGTAGCTCTTCAGAGCTAGCTGGGGCTATTCTGCCTCACAACTTGAAGTAATAAAATATCTAACTCTGTGTCAGAGATGCAGGAAGTTTCTTCCTGGCTTTTTTTGTCATAACTATTATAATGTGAAAAAGAAATTAAGTCCTTGGGAGGAAAATGTCAATCACCTTTCCTAATCTTGCTGAGTAACTCACCAAATGAAATAGTTTGCCAAAAGTAATACAAATTATTGAGATATGATTGCTGAAAAGAAGGAATGAAAAAAATGACATCATTGAATCACATGTAAGATAAAGCATGACAGCCAAGAGTGTGGGAGATAAGAAATGCTTCCTAGGAAACCATTCACAACAATACTGAAGATTGTTACAGAAGAGAATGAAGAGCAACTCTATTCTTTGTGATTGGATTTAAGAGAGACAAAGCCAAAGGGATTTAGGGAGTGGCATAGATCAATACTTGGTACTGAGCCAATTGGTCAATAGTTTGGGAAAAAATATATAATCCAATCAATGTAGAACCTTACTACACATAACAGAGCAAAAGAAAACCCACATAGCTTACTACAAAAATTACTACAAAATCAAGCCACTTATCAAACTTTAAAAAGGAAAATATTTATGTGCTCTCTAGATAGAGAAGGGCTTCCTAAAATGTGCAATTGAAGATATGATAACACAAAAGACAAATAATTTGATTAAGCAAATATCAAGACTTTGTCCTGTGGACTGTTTCAAAAATTCTTATAAACAAAGATGATAACAAATGTTATATCATGTTTCTCAATCATATAACAAAGGGTTCCTGTTCTTTAATTTATAGACTTTAAACTCTTCAATAAAAAACCATAACACACCAAAAAACAGAGCTGAAAGTAAAGTTCATTAAATGGAAAATACAAGTGGCTAATAAACAAGTGAATAAAGTATTGTTTTATAAGCAATTAGAGAAGTAGAAATTAAAAAAACATTTTACACTATTACATTAGTTGGAAATTTAGTGATGAAAATACATAATGTTGATAATCAGGGTAGTATAGCAAGATAACTCCAATATGTTGCTGGCAAGATTATAAATTTGTTACAACCTTTCTGAAAAGAAATTTGACCATATATATTAGGAAGTTTAAAAAATGTTAAAAATATCTATTGTTAATTCTCATTCTAAGTATCTATTATAAGGAAACAATCAGAAATGTGAACAAAGACTTATGATCACAAATGTTCACCATATCACTTATAATTTAAAAAACATTAGAAGTAAATGCCTACAAAATGGAAACTGATTGGATAGGTGAACGTGTATTTAGACACATAATACACAGCAATTAAAATTATGTATATGAAGATCATTTAATGACATGAAATATGCTATGCCATATTTTGGCTAAGCAAAAAGAGTGGGATGTAAAATTACATATATAGCATGATTTTAATTTTATAGTGAAAACATGTTTAGAAATAAAAAATGTTCTTAAGTCTTAATAATAGATCATAAATGGTTTTATTCTGGTCATTATTTGACAGTGTTACAGGTAATTTTGTTAATATTTCTTTTTTGCATTTTTACACATTCTAAATCTTTAAGTATTAGATAATCAGAAAAAATCAAAACAGAAAGAAAGAAAAGAAGGTAGAAAGGTAAAAAAGAAAGAAAAGAAAAGAAAGAAAGAAAAGAAAGAAAGAAAGAAAGAAAAGCCATTTCCTTTTATCCTGGGTCCCACTGCCCTTCCGAGCTTTGTTCCAGGGAAAAGCCACTATCACGAAGCGGAATAAGAATCAAAGAAAGAAAGAAAGAAAGAAAGAAAGAAAGAAAGAAGGAAAGAAAAGGAAAGGAGGGAGGGAGGGAGGGACAGAGAGAATAAGATAAAATTTTGAGAAATAAAATAAAGAAGGTGCGGGGGGGAGGAAAAAAAGAAAAGGAAAAGAAAGAAAATGAATGAATGCATCCAGGCCTGAGAATTTACCTGCAATCTCCTTTCTTATGTTATGACTTGAAATACATCAAAATACTTTCCTGGACAATTATAATAATCTAATAATCTTGATTCGATAACAATTTCCCAATCTACATACTTTTTTTGCCTATTAAAACTATAGAAACATTGGCCTTAGCAAGATTAATTCTCAGTCAATTCTATTTCATCCAAACCCATTCTCTGTCACTGAAATAATTCTGTATTTTCTTTATTCCAGTGAGGTATGTACTTTTTTCCCCACAGGGCTACATGATCAATGGAGTATTCTGTGGACTACTTAACTAGACCTAAAAAGATATTCATCCATATACATCATGTACAAATTAAATAGAGCAAATTTGCAACCATGAATAGTCTTTTCATGTTCATTTGACTGTAGAATATTTCCCTGATTGAATACTTCCAATACCTAAGCACCAAAGTCAGAACCAAATTCCCCTCTTCTCACCAAAGTGCTTCCTCTACCTACTCAGTAACATAACGTCCTTCACTTTATAGCTGGGCATGTGATTTTAAATGCAAACATCTGTGTGATAGTTATAGCAATGGCTTCCATTTATAACAGGCAGCACATAACTGTTAGGATGCTTTCTGAGAACAGATTTTGAAAGGAAAAGAGAACGGGACGAAGGAGCTGAAGTGAGAGGGAAAAGGGTTGTCTAGATGGGGGAAAACACCTGGCACATAAAATATAAAAACATTTACTGCACCGAATAGAGGCTGAGCTCATTAAAAAACCAAACCAGCTGCTTCATCATTTTAAACAGGGTTGGCTCCTTTAAGTAGGAAGTGATAGAAAATAGAGGAAAGATCTGAACAGTAGCATTATGAGTGGAGCATGTACCAATTTGCAATTCAAACATGTTATAGTAAAAAACAGTCCACAGGACAAAAGCTAATAAGCCTAATTTCAAAATATCTGGAATACTGAGGTACTAGAGTAACTATATTGAATAGCAGACTTTTAGGGCTTTAAACAAATTAGAGATGATCTTGTCTCATACTTCCACCTCTATTTTCTGAAACAGAAGCTAATTCCTAAAACGTTAAGTGCTTTACTCGACATCCCATAGCTAGTCAGTTAATCCAGTCTCAGTACCTTATAATAGGACTATTTCCTTATTTAAATAAAAGTGCAGTGCAGACACGATTGTTTTTGGCAAAAAAAACAAAAAAAACAAAAAACCATTCTTGAAAATAACCTGGTACATACCACTGTATGGACTTGGTCAGAGGTACTTTGAATTTTCCCATTTACTTTGTTTATGCCTGACAAAAACAAGAGAAAATAACATTATTTTTATTCTTCTTGTTCTTAAATCAATTTTTACTACTCACTCTGAGGACAACTACAAATCCTGCTCTAACTCGGGTGTATTATTTTATTTACTATCATTTCAAACACTGATTCCAATGAAGTCTGAATGAAGAGATAGCAGGAAGAAAGCCCAGGAACCCCTAAAGTCTTTTTATGTTCACTCTAGTGGCCCAGCTTTCTATCTGAACATTTTTACACATTATTGGTTTTTGGCTCAGTTGGTGTTCATAGGTCAGAGATTAATATAAAATACTACAATTGCCAATGAATTGTTATCAATGGAGGCATCAAATATTTTTTTCACTTTAAAAAATACACTCATAAAAAAAGATTCTGAAATATCAATACTCAATAAATTCTGTTCACTTTTTGTTTTCTCAAATACTACAGGATTGGAATTAACAAGTCATATTACACAATAATAAAAAAATTTCATAATTAGAGAAAAAAGGAAAAAAGTACAGAAAGCTTACTAAACAGTTCTAGGTACTTACTTCCAACAATAGTCTTGTGATTAAAAATCTTACTCCAAATTCCACCTTCTACATTATCTTTCACTCCAAATTCATAAACCGTATTGGGCTTTAGATTTTCTACAATTGTTTCAGTGGCTGGGCAGAGTTGAAAAATCCACTTCTTTTCCTTATCCTTTTCCCTATAGCGAATTGTATAAAATCTGTTGAACAGAAATATGACACTTTAAAATCACAGGGAGATTTAGAATTTTTTTTCAAGTTTCTTAATACCTCATAGATTCTCATCTACTCCAAAGGCTATAACTGATATTAGCTTCTATTTCAATTCTTTTAAAAATTTAAGAGAACATTAAAAATATCTTAACATGTGCTTAAATTTGAATTTCTAATTGCAAGGTAGGGGACTATGCACTAGCACAGTTATGGTCTGACAGAATTCAGACCTCTCAGGTCTATTATTGTTACTTTGCAAAATGAAAGTTGGAAAACTCTGGATATTCTTCCCCCCGCCGCCGCCCGCCCTGTTACGTGCACAAAGGAACATAGATGTAATTTTGTAAATACTTAACGTTGTTGTTTTATAGCTGTGAATTTAAGCCCTTCGTCCCATGGAAGTTGCATTAGAGGTAATATCATTCAATTTTGCAAAAGAGAAACCTGAAACTCTAAGATGCAACCAGGACTGTATTTCAAGAGTGAAGTTTTTCTTATTATTAAAAAAATAAAAAATCAGGCTAACAGCCAAGCTGTTAGCCACATCAAACAATATAAATTCAAGATCACTGTTACGTATTTGCTTAGGGCTTCATGATATTCAGACATATACATAGCAAAATAATGATAATCTCCACCACTATTTTTTTTGTACTTTTATCACATACTAGGTTTTACTTATATTTTTGTTACAACATCTTAAGTGGTAAAAGTTATTAATCCCACTTTACAAATGCGCAAATGGAGTTTTGGAAAGATCATTTAACTTGCCCAATGTCACCCAGCTAATGACTTTTACTAGTGGCAATGGCAGAACCAGGAGACAAAAATTCCTCTGGCTCTGCTCTAAACAGCCTCACTAAGTGAGACAGCAGATCAGGAAAGGGGATTTTACCACAACCACATACAGTAATGAGAATGAATAAGGTAGGGCTACATGTATCAATATGGATAGACTTTACAAACAAAATACTGAATGAAAATAGCAAATTACAAAATGATGCATATAGTTTCTATATAAATATCAAGACACTTACACAAAATATGTTACTACATATTGTTCCTGGTGTTGTAAAAGGATAACAAATACTGGAAGGGTACAACACTTGTGATAGTGCTTTGGCTCCCAATAAGCAGGTAGGGAGATAAATGGGATTAAAGGTAAAGATAACATATAAACTTTATGTGCTTTTTATTTTTAAGTAGATATTTAAAATAAATAGGACAAAATAACAGCTGTCATGTATGATGATGGAAACATAGGGGTTTGTCATGCTATTTTAGGTTCTTTTTGTGTGTTAAATTTTCTTTCAAAAATTTAGTACCTCTCTTCTACTCCCTACCCTAGCAAAATTAGATGGACTAAGATTCAGGTCAATTGCTTGTATGCAAAGCTTTAAAAAAATTACTCATTTACTCATGCTAAAAATGTTTATTGTGCACTCTCTAAGTACCAGGCACAGTTCTTGATGATACAGAAAGAATTACCAAGAATCTCTGGAAACAAGGGCCAGGAATGGATGTAAAATTGATGAGCTCATTGCAAAATAAAAACTAGGGGCCATTTATTCAAAAATTATTAAGAAGTTGAAGACAGAGTAGAGTATTAAATCAAGCATGGGTCATTTTAAATGGGGGACCCTGTACAAATACACTGGTTGCATGCCCATGAAGTCAGCAGAGAGTGTTTACAGTTTAATAAGTACAGAGAGGGAGGGAATGTTTTTATACATTCAACTTATATTTTTACTAGTCACAAACTACTGTACTGCTTGAAATCATTCATTAGCTTGCTTCTTTCCAGTAAAAACTGCTCTCCAGACCCCAGTGCCCCCTTTCCAAAGTAGCAAAAGACAGAATAAGTGAACGAGGCTGCTCCAGCCAAAATACTAACTGCTACTGAAAAGAAATGTTATAGTACACTAATCCTTTGTCTTGTGAATTAAAACATCAACAGCCATTTACAAACACATTTCTTGACAAGTATAATGCATGGGATTTTTGTTGTCGTTGTTTTTTCCCTGCCCTGGCTATGACAAAACTTTAGTGACATGTGGAGATGCTGAAATCAGTCCAGAAGGGCTATCACAGTTATAAATCTCTAGTTTGGATACATTTCTGAAGTCTGGAATTGCTTGCATGATCCAGGGGGCCCACTGCTAACAGAACTACCAAAGGCCAGATTCCAAGATTCCCAATAAGCTTGATTTTATGTCATCTTCCTAGGAATAAAGTGATACAGAAATGTTCTGTCCTAAGAACTTACTCATATATTAAAAAAAGTCCAGCCTGTACATTTTTTTGGTTTTGATCACAAAGCCTTTTAAATATCCTCTCTCGTACTAAGTTTCTCAGGAAAAATAAATGTATAGGCAGCCAGTCCTTCTCCTCTGCTTCGGTCAGCTTACCCTCATCAACACTGGCTTACTAGATGATTATATAATATATGTAAGGTCTAAATTATGGAAGAGATAGTAAACGAGACTACTTAGCTATAAAGTTTCCTTGTAAAAGCAAAATATGGGCTTTATGATAATAAAGTGCTATACAACCTAGCACACAGTAGGTACTCCATAAATATTGCTGGAATGAATAGAATGGATATTTAAGTGCTCATAGGGTCATTCTAAATTTAGAATACAATTGTTCTAAATGGCCAATTATTCAATAACCATAATATACTGATTTAAGCCATTAGGTCTACAATTATATTTTGCAATGTGTCAGTGCATAGAGTTTTACTTATCAAAACTCATTGTTCCTATAGAATCAGTGCAAACTGAAGGAAAATATAATAAATGTTTACATTGTACATTTGCAGAGGGTATAAGATTTTTAAAATTTATTTCAGTTTATCTATATAATAAACTCAGAAACAAGCAGAGCAAGAATTACTATGAAAGAGAAAGAGAGGCTGGGAATTGTCTAAAGTCTGATAATCAGCGACAGAGTCAGGCAAATGGATAATATCTTTTGTGTTGTACTGGACTGTCATTTTACTGTGGTGCTTGGCAAAAGGAGATGAAAAAAGACGGGTAAAATGACCCAGAATACAAGAAGTTTACTCTTGTATTAGCATTATTTAAGGCTTTTTATCTTTTGTTTTATTGTGTATTCACCATAACATACCATCAGACTTCCCATTATTGTCTGAGAAAATCCAGGCTCAAACACTGATTCCATCTTTTTCTGTGGGTGTCTAAATTTAGGCACAAATGTATAGAGAGGCAATAAGTCTATTTAAAAAACACAGGTAGCAGCTTGTGAATGTCATCAGATCAGACCTCTGGAAAGCCTGATTCTAGCAATTTGGATTTTAAGAACAAGAACCTCTCATATCCTAATTAAATGGTAAGAAACTTTTGAGGGTAATGTTTGGTTCAATTGGCATTATTCTGTGCTTTGATTTCCCTGAAAGTCTCAATACTATCAATAATTGTTTTTATAACTTAAAGAAATCCATAGCTCCTCAAAATGTAGTAGACAAGGCAGGTAATGGTTTGACTTGGATATTTGTCAGCTGCAGATTAGCAGCAGGACTTCGGAGGAGTCTCTTTGCACATTTATTCGTCATTTTCTCAATTGCGAAAGGGGGATTGGACTACATAATCTTTGCAATTATTTCTGTTTCTAAAAATGTATTCTAGCTACATATCAGATTTCCTATTCTAATAAAATACAAAGGCAGAACACAGGATAGAAACCCCATAAACAAAATTTGTGAGGTAACTGCCAGTGAATTATATTAAGCAAAAAAATTAAAGAATGTCAAAATAAATTTAGTCCTTTCACAAACTAGCCTGGCTTAATGTACATGGTTGGCCATTTTATGGGGTTGCCATACTTTTTTCGGCAATGCTTTTATTTCTGTGCAATTAGCTACTATTATATTTCCTAAAACATCTATTTCACATATTCTTTGCACTCTTCACATTAAAGGACACTTCCTGACCCCTCTTTGTCAATGTTCTTACTTCTTGCCTTACTGAGACTATAACTGCTGATAGAAATTCTGCCCTCTCTCCCTTTCTCTCTCTCTTTGCCCCTATTTGATTCCAGGGTTCTTGCTTGTTTTGAAAAATAAGAGTCTTGGTAACTTTATTCCCTTTCCTTATTCCATCCTTTCTCCAGCCTCTCTTGATTCTTCAAGGACCTTTCTTTGAGTCTAAAAGATGTTTGAATATTTTCCATTCTATCAAAATAAAAATAAAACTGATGCTTGCTTTTTACCCCTGCCACTATCTTTTAACATAAAATTTCTTGAAGGCAATTCTCCATGAATTTCATATCTACCTTAAAATCTACTCATCTTTTTTCTCAAATCTGTTCCAATTTTCGTTGAGTTCAGATTTCTTCTGCTTTCAAGTTTAGTTTATGTTTCCCTGCATGATTCCTCTTGTCTTTGTCACTTCTCTATTCCTAAGTAGCACTGAAGGGCCCAGTTAAGGTCCTTATTATCTTTGGACTCTTGCGATAATTTTCAAGCTGGTCAACCATGTCCAAAATGTCTTACTCACCTACTGCTGGCTAGCTTAAACTCAACAAAGAAAGAAGTTTCTAGTGATTTTAGTGCTATCTTAAATGGAATAGTTTGTCTGAAATGGCCATTCTAACATAAGGTAAATAATATCAAAAACAGCAACACTAACAGCAAACACACAAGTACCATTTGAGTGCTCACTGCATGTCAGACACTATGTTAACATAGCCACATTTTACAGCATTATCTCATTTATTTCTGACAACCTTATTATATATTACTATTATTACCTTTATTGAAAACCAAGGTTTAAAGCATATAAGAAACCTGCCCAAGGCCACTTGTACCTTCAACATTCATGCTATGTTACCATCCCTGGAGATACTCACTGTGATCTCTAGATGGCAAATGTTACGGAGGAGGTTCAAGGGCTAAATGGACTGGCTAGATGATTTTTAAGGCTTGTTCTTGACATTCCTTTTGCTTATTATACATTTGTTGAGATCT